ACTGCCTTTGCAACTTGCCTCTTGCTAAGGCCCAATTCCAGCAGCCATCGTATTTTCGGTTTCAATTGTCCTTCAATGGATTGGGTGTGCGACAATATACCTGTTTTTAGCGAGTTTAAGTCCTCTAAGCAAAAGCCTTCAGTCTCAGGGTACTGAGAAACCTCTTCAGTAGAATTTCTTGCTACTAATATTGCTGCTTCCAATGCACACTTCTTGCCGTTCTCATGCAACATCGACACTGAATCGTTCTGTATGTGACCCTGAATCTGCTTGAAAACACTTGGGCGCAGGGCATCTCGCAGCCGCTTGCAAGCGACCATTTGTGCAAGGACGCGGTGCAAGGCTTTTGCAAGTGAGCGCTCTTCTCCTTGACGCCAAGGATCCACTCTGATCCATAGGACGTGCCCTTGCAAACATGGCTTGCTGACAGTGTGACTGATGCGCACAACAAGCGATCCCACTGGAGCATATGCCAACAAAGCAGCATTTTTCTGCTGGTCCTTTGCTATACCCTCCGTTTCCCCGTGCCTCCAGAACCCATCATATTCCACAAAAATCGCAGCGTTTCTATCTCTCAAAACCCCATGAGCTGCCAAGTCCGGCTGAAAACTGTATCCACTCCACCCTTCAGTTGCTGGAAAGCTCCGGAAGAGCTCCCAAATATCAGTGCGTGGCATCAGCAGAACTGCCAGCTGTGATAACAACTCGGCTTCTGCTAAACTCCCCACTCTTCCTCGAGGCCATCCTTGGCGCCACCATGCAGGCACATAGGCCACGGGCAGGGCCAACAAACACAGGCCCACAAGCAAACTCGGTTTGTATCGCATGCGAAGCTCTCAGCGCTCGAAATGGTGCCACCGAATGGCCGCCGACTTTGAACCATGCAGTGTCTATCCAGCAAAACAAATGGAGTTTATCAGTCCAAGCAAAAAGCAAAGAACTGCACCCTTCCTCAACTGCTGTCCATACAAATCGCAAGAGTTGGACAATCTTAAAAGTACTACCATGTAGTACTGTATCTACCATTTGCGCTCGTATTCACTTGTTTTTGATTGTTTTTGTTGATAGTTCTTATGAACTGCTACGAGCAAACGCACATTGAAAGGCTCCCAAGCTGACCTTGGTAGGGTCAAAGCCCATGTCCAACAAAGCATCTCTGACCTCAGCAGCCAAGGCAGCGAAGAGAGGATAGTTCCTACCGGCTAGCGGCCTTCAGCAGAACTTCCGGAAGAGAATGGAACATACTGACAATATTGTCAATATTGCTGGAGCATAGTAGAACATTGGGATGCCAAACTCCGTCCAATCTACACATACCGACTCCGTCCTACTGTTTGCAAAGAACCTGTGCTGCTCAACACTGTAGGACTGCTGGCCTCCAGCAGTTCTGGATATGAGCACTGTTACTTCACATCTCCGAGTTGCAAGCCCCATGAAAACTGTGTGGTTCGGTTGGGAGATTTCTCTTTATTTTAGGGAGATTGGGAGAGCTTATTTTGAGCTTCAACTTTAGTTTCAGTGTTAGCCGTGTATTCCTAAACATCCCCTGACAATTGGCGGTGGTGCGACCCACTTGGCCTCCCTGCATACTGCTTGGAGAACTCCTTCATCTTCAACTCTGGCTTTGCTTTCAAAAGGTCAGTCACCGTCTTGTACCTGAGCCACCCACGACTTTGTTCAAGCGTTTGTGGCTTTTAGGGGTCAAGGTCAGACACTCCAGACAGGACACCAGTCGGATTTCCATGAACTCCATGAACCCATCTGTCAAATCGACAAAATGCTATAATCCTCGTTGGCAAGGGCACTCGCCCTTCTTCATCTCTGCTGCGATCTTTGGGTATTTGGCTTCGTACTCCTGGACATGGAACGAGCACCACGGACAACATGCCCCAAAACGCCATAGCTCAGCGGCTCTCAGTGCGGTTTCTTCAGTCTTTCAGGTCAACCGCTGTACACCCAAAGACTTGATGTCAGTCCTCGATGGTGCACATTCTGGATGAATCCGGTGTGTTGACCTGACCGGAACAAACAGTGAACAGACCGGGTGCAGACCGGGTGCATTCACATTTATTGAATCCGCGCTACAAACATGCTCGAACACTCTTACAATGTCTGACAAATGGCAAAGTTACAAGACTTGTCTGATGCCTGTCCTCAATCAAATATTCTTGGTCCACACAGTATTAGTATTCCTGACACACCCAAACCGATCTCTATCATAGAAAAATCAATGGGGCTCACCAATTCAGGGAGGCACGCCTGATGCGCCTGATCAGTCTTCAACTACGGTTCATCTACACTCCCCTGACTGCAACGCTGGGTGATGCCCCAGCCTCATCAATCACATGGATCACGCCCTTCTCGTCCACCCCGAACTCGTACTTTGTATCCTGGCGGGTAATGCGACAAGAATCAACTCTGGTACAACCAACTGAAATGAGTGACCCTCCCAGGAAATCGCACAGCAAGTCTAACTCTTCGAGATTTCTGTCCCAAGACAACAGTGGCCCCGACATGAAGGCATGAATGGACTTTGCATGGACAGACTTGGTGCAACAATGCACATCCAAGCAACCCTTCTGGCGCTGTTGCTTTCTCCTCGTTTCATGTCCCAAAAAGATCCAAAAAGGATCCATTGAGAACCATGGATCTAACCCATGCCACTAAGTGTAACTGTCTAAACGTCTTCTCCAAACAAAGAGTCCAACAACTTGAGATTTGGTGTCAGGCCAGCTGTTGACCAAGTCAAGAGGGGGGATCACCGATTCGATACACTAGAAACATGCCAGGAGGGCCAAAAGAATCAGCCCTCGTTTCTTCATGAGCTCAGTTCCTGCAAAAGAAGCTCGCCACTGCATCATGAAAAGGGTCTCTTTTGTAAGAGCTGAGAACTAGCAACTCATCATCAAGTAGATGAGGCATCTCTTGCACATGCATTGCGTTTTTCAATCTAGGCTCTCATTCTTGTACATTAAACACATCACATCATCCGTTGCACATCCCCACTTGCAACGTGCATCTGGCCGCTTCACTGTTAAAGGCGTGACGTTGCTTCTTGGCTGAACACGCCTCTCTGGAAAAGCTTCATGGCGGCGTCCATGGCCTTCTGAGCCAGCTCTTTGCCTCAGGAATTTCTGCTCGTGGATCTTCTCCCAAACTGTATGGGTTCCCACACTTGTTGGGCTTCACAAAAGATACAAAAGAGGGTACTTGCAAAACATGTCATATGTCGCTGGAGGAGGGTTTCTACACACACACAATTAACATCAAGTAACCACTGATTGCCTGCAAGCTCCCCTCACTGAACGCCAGATCTGGGGCAATTGGCCCAGAAGCTTCTCCATGTCCTCCATGCTCATGTTCTCGTCATGGCCTGCAACCAGTCATTTCTCATCCACTTTAAGTCAGCAGGTGCAGTAGCTTTGCAATGCATTCATTTTGCTTGGGACCCGTCGCTTTTCCACTTTTCATTGCCCTGGAGTCCTGCCTACTTCCGCCTTGGTGGTTGGTGTGAAGATCGGCTTGTCGAGCTTCTGAAATCGGATCAGCCTGGGAGCAATCTAGGAGTTCGTTCTCGTCTGGAAAAGCCTAGACAAAAAGCCCACACATGAATGTTCCTGACAACAAAGTTCTGTCCATTGATGGAATCGGGCTTGCATAGGTCTTACGATGGCTGTTTTGCCGGAGTGCCTGGATGACTCATTGCTTTGTTCCAATGTGAGGCCTCCATCCGTCTCTATGGGAGGGTTCAGTTCTTCGCATTATTTTACCATTCTCAATGAAATGAAAAGACAACACATTCTTGAAATTGACTAGTTTGAGCCCCAAACACTTGTAAACGACTGGAGTGTTGAAGATTTCTAAGTCAAAAGGGATCACCACCCCTTGCCGCACTTCCCAGGTGGTCAAGTCTCCCGACCCCTCTGGGAGCTTCAATCCACAGAACTCTCGGTCGCCCTTCTCATAGGCAGCTGCCATGCTTCCCCACAAGTATCCTGCTGAGCGGAAGTCTTAGAGTCTTGACACTCTACACGACTACAACACTTGACCAGTTGGCTATGACTCTACCTTACTACACCAGGATTACATTTTTCTTGATCAACGTATTCACCCGTGCTGTTCATCAGTGTGTCAGTCATCATTGGTTTTGGTGATTGCAAAACCAGTTGATGTTGTCAAAACTAGACATTCAAGCAGTCTGAGTGGAGCCATCGGGCGATCAAGGTACATATTCCCAGGCGATCTCAGGCGTGTCCAATCCTTTTGCCTGCATTGGTTCCTTTGCAAACACTCGAGTTTCTTCTTCTTGTCTTTCTCTTATATTCTGTGCCCCCTTTTCCTTTCGATGTTTCACTACATATTGCTTTGATCTCTATTTATTGTGGGCGGCCAATGATTACTCTGTAAACCGATTTGGGCTGTAGCAACCTATGTTTATCCAATATTGATGCGAGTATACCCAAACGATGGCTTAGAGACCTCAGGAAAAAGGAACAGTCTCTGTAGCGGGCCTCAAGCATCATTATTTGTTAGCTAGATTCAAGAGCCATGTGCTGGTGGCTCTGGTAGAATAGTTAAAAGATGAACGATCGAGTCGTACAATGAGTGTGAACGATTGTACGGTACAGTTGTACGATGTGACGTGCAGTTGTACGGTTCAGTCGTGCGGTTGTACGGCTCAGTTGTACGGTGTGTACGATTCAGTTGTACGGTGTGTCGTGCGGTTGCACGATATTGTACTGATTCATGATTTGCAAATTTGCAAAGCTGATGTAGCAGCAAACCTTTTTCCATCGCAAAGGTGATCGGTTCACCAGTGCTGGTCTTTCGAGTCCTGTTGACTTCAGATTTTGCACTGTACTATCACAGCATCTGCTAAGCAGACAATTCTTCACCCAGCTCGCAGTTGCTAAGAAAATCAAAGCAACTGGATTCCAATTTGCACTATCTCGAATCACGCTGCATGATTCGCCAGCCTGAGGGTTAAGTCTCCCAACCGAGGCTGATAGTCATTTCAGATTCATTTTGCAAGTTCAAAAAGAAAGTTTAAGTGAATTCAATTCAATTCAAAATCAACTGAGTTTTCAACTTCTCTAATTGATTCAAGAAACTGATCTACCAAATTGGAAATTGCATCCTCCTCTTCTGACTCGCTGGCGGTGGAATATGACAATTCCATCAAACTGGCGGTGAAGACAGCCAGGCATACTGTCGAGCTGTACCTTAGACGTTTAGTGCTTTCAACATGTTTCAACAAGTGATGATACAGATTGTGCGATTCTACGATTTTTCTTGAGCATCTATAATCCAGAGTCTACAAAGCTAGTAATAGTAGGTTAGGTTAGTGACAGTGACAAGATGCCCGTTGCCTGCTATGTCTGTAAGTTGGTTTTCTGAAAAATTATCCAAGATCTGCTTTGGATATTGCAGCCCTTGAATCTCAAGCAATTCACGGCCTGCCAGAATGTGGTGAACTACATAGTAGAGCCATCAATAATAATCAAGAACGGTTTGTTTGCTTAATATTATTTACTGAGTTCATTCAGATTCATATTTGTCGATATTATCGATATCGAAGCTCAACAATCTCAACTCTCAGCTGCATCTAAGAGCAAACGTTTCCGCCGCATGTGCATCATTCTGGATGATGGAAGTATTGTTGGCAGCACCTCAAAAACATAAACATGATTTGTCCATTGTCCAAATAGATTTGGTTCGACTCATCATACCTCTCCACACTCCAAACTGACAACAAATGACATATGTAAATTTGTCAAGAAACTTCTTCGCCACTCACAGCTGTTCTGTTCGCACTATGTAGCAGGTCAGCATATCCAATGGAAGGCGACCCACTCTCGCTCAGAGTCTTTTGCTCGTTCAGAACAAACAAGTACACCTGGGCATAGAATGCACTGAGCAAACTATTCTGGTTGAATTTGGTGGTCTAGTCAAGTCATCAAGTCAAACATGTTGCCTCTTGCTCGCGCGGAGACAGCGTAGAGAACCAAGCTTGTATTTCATCGTCTGGCACCACCAATGGCCATTGAATGCCACCTGTGTTTGTCAACCCAAAGTTTGGATAGATGAGTATCAAAACTTTACTGTAACCTCAAAAGTCCATACACACCTACTTCACCTACCAAATGTTTCTTGTAGTTTCAATCAAGTTCTTACAAACTTTAAGCTTTCAATTTCAATTTCAATGTGTTTTTTGGTGAATGTTAATAGTTGTTAATAATGGACTAGACACGTGTTTTGGCCAAATCTTGATGAGTTGTTTGCCACTTTGTGCTCTCTTTCTCCTTGATGACGACGTTGGAATCAAGCGCAGCATTTGCACCACCTGGAGGAGTACCTGCGTGTTTTTTGGACTTCTTTTTCTCAGTCGTGTCCTTGTCCTTTGATTCAATACGTGCTCGGTGACTAAGACGTTTCTCCAACTCATCTTGGACAGAAACATGGTCATCTGGCAGAAAGAATTCATCCTTAGATAGAATCCGACCAACAAAAAAAACAAAGTCACTGGCTCACAAGCTTGCTCTGCACTATATCAACTGGCTACGACGGCTATGAGCTTTACTGGCATCAGTGGCTTACGCATATGTGGCAGCTTGACATGTTCCATGTTCATCTTTTGTAGCCTTAACTTAAGTTTCAAGTTTCAGACGACATTATATTATATATTCTAAAAGTCACTTGCTCACAAGCTCGCTCTGCAATACCTCAACTGGCTATCGGTTAGAAACAGTTAGAAAAGCTTTGCTGGCATCAGTGGCTTACGCATATGAGCCGCGTGCGTGGCCTCTTGACTGTTAATGTTTTGTTTTGTAGCCCTAAGTTCCAAACCACATATAGTTTACAATTTACATTGTACAATAGTGTTTGAGCAGTCTCAACTCAACTAGTTGAATTGGGCTGTTCGTGTTTATAGTGGTTTATTTAGTTTATACTATATACATTTTCTCATTCATCAAACTTCATTAATCCAGTGCGGAACGGTATAGGGCAATCAAACAACTTGCAATTAAGTTATGGCAGCTAACAACTATACCGGACAAAGAAACCAACACACATGCGATAGTCGATAGTTGTATAATGTTGTACATTAATTAATCATCAAATAATGAATAATCACAGCGCAACACATAGTTCAGAATATTGTATCTCCAACGTCAAAAGTCAAGACAATACATTTACATATCTCATAACTCATAAACACAAATCATACAAATACATTGTCTAACTACTTAGTTGTGTTTGCGGAGTGAATGAATTCACAACACTCAAGAACACTCGCTTGCAAATACAATATAAACACCTTCACTCCAATACATATAGACTTTATATCTCAGAAGCATCAAACAACAAGCACAAAGAATCAATGAATCAATAATCAATGTCTTTGCATATTGTAAGTTAAAAAAAATACAAGTAACAGTAATATATAGTCTTGAAATGTGCACCGTGCAACCAAATGTCAGGATGCGGACACGGTTGAATTCTGAAAAGTTCCAAGTTGGCTTCCACGTTGGCGAACGATGCCTGACCCTGCCTTACCTTGCTGAAGCCAACAATGTATAAGCGCACTCTACGCTGAGGAAGCGCAAAGTCAGAGCTAATCAATCGATAGGCTCTGACATGGAAGCCATCCCCTGCGTCACTCAAAGCACGAAGAATCAGATCCAAGTTGGTTGCATCACCGCTGTCTGGACCTCCTTCTTCTAGATCTACATTCTCCAAAATGAAGAAATCTGTAATGATATTGGACAACGCTTCGATCACACATCTGAAAGTAGCAAAGGAAGATGAATCCTGGCAACGCCATAAAGATTATTTAAGTTTAACAGTTTAACACACCACCACCACCACCAACAACAACAACAACAAAAACGATCACAAGTTGACATTTTTATTTACTATTTAAAAAACATATAGACTGTAACAAATATAGTTCAGTTGACTCTGTACATGTTTTAATCAACTTAAATGTTAATTTATGATTTGAAGATTAAAGCATACATTGGACTTCAAACTTCAAATCCATGTTCAATTCAAACTTTCAAACTTATATCCTCCATTTCGTCCACCATTGCGCGCTTGTAGGCTTCGTAGTCATTGTTCAACTTTGAGAATGATTTGCAAGAAAAGCCTCCATTGAAGCACACCAAATAATCAGGCACATCCTGACAAGTCAAACCGCTCTGGTTGATTTGTGTAAATATTTAATCGCTTCATTACTATACTATACATATAAATTAAAACTAAAATACTAATCCAATATGTTCATGTTTTCCAAGGCACACAAGCTTGATTGCCATGTTTCAGGCAAGCTCTGTCGTCTGTGAACACCTTCTTGGCATCTGAATACAGGCAGCAATCTGGAAGGTGGGAAAATGCATTCAATAGAAAGCGTTGTTTCACTGGTGATACTTCTGCCATGAACTGGTGTTGTACTTTGGGATGTCATCTGCAGTTTGCCAACTTCCCCAAAGGGATGTTTAGTTTTCAATGTTCAATGTAGAAAGGAAGCACTTTCAAGAAGTACTTGGCAACAAATAAAAAATATACTTAACATGTTTAGGAACCGTCAAGTCCGAAGTCTCTTGAGGAAAGAATTCCATCAATGCCTGAAATAGTCCATCAACAACTTTGCTAAATGCTCCAGAGCCAGTGAAATAGTCGCCTACAGTGAAGTCGCGAGGCAATGCACGGATTTTCGCTGCCAATTGCGACCCATCCTTGTTCAAAGCCTTCTGCAACATGACCTGTGACAATGACTCTTTCAATGTTTAACATTCAAAATCACTTGTTATCATGTATAGGCAACTGGACCCACAACGCTAGAAGTAGATATTGTTGAACAATTTAACAATTTTGTTTCGCCAACTATGAGTCTTGTGGTGTTTGAAGTACAGTGTGATGTGACATGACATAACATAGCTGGCCTTGGAAGCACTACCAATCACATCTGACACTTCAAACTTGAAATTCAGCT